TAGAACTACTATATACCTCACTTGAAAAGAAAGAAGTCCCACTGGGCATTTTCATTGATTTACATAAAGCTTTTGATACAGTCGACCATGAACTGCTGTACTCCAAATTAACGCACTATGGTATCAGAGGCCACTCCCTCAAATACCTATAATTATACCTTAGTAACAGAACTCAATATGTGTATGCAAATGATGCAAAGTCTTCCACCCAACCAATCACAGGAGGAGTCCCACAAGGAAGCATCTTTGGACCACTCCTCTTTCTCATCTACATCAATGATCTACCGAATGCATCACAGCTACTCAAACCCACATTATTTGCAGATGGCACTACATATGTCTTTTCCCACCCAAACACAGTCATACTAGCAAACACAGTCAATGCCGAATTACAGAAAATATCTGCCTGGATGATGACTAACAAACTTACCCTGAATACTGATAAAACCTATTTCATTCAAGTTTGGAAACAAAGCTACAAATGATCCAATTAACATAACGCTAAACGGATCATCAGTCACAAGACTCACAGAGGGAAAACTCCTAGGTATCCACCTTGACAGTAGCCTTAAGTTCCAGACACACATACAAAAAATCACCAAGAAAATCTCAAAGACTGTAGGCATACTATCAAAGATAAGGTACTAAGTTCCACAATCAGCTCTCCTGGCACTGTACCATACACTCATATACCCTTATCTTACATATGGAATTTGTGCCTGGGAATCAACAACATTCAGTCACCTAAGACCTCTAATAACCCAGTAAAAGGCAGCAGTAAGAATGATAACAAATTCCCACTCCTGCCAGCATACTCCACCAATTTTCAAGTCTGAATCTGCTCACCATTAAGAACATCCATACTTATTCATGTGCCTACTACATACACAGAACAATACATACAAATACAAACCCTCCACTCAAACTTCTTCTCACCAACCTAAACAGGACACATGACTACAACACAAGACACAGATCTCTTTTTGATATACCTCGTGTCCATATCACACTGTAAAAACTCTATGCACTCCAAACCAACAGATACAGATACTAATGCCGAAAAAAATCCCCCCCCCCAGTACCAACAATACCTCCAGTCCGATGATATTCTTCTTTGCAAATATACAGGGTCTAAAGCCAGCAACAAACAACAAAATACCTTTCATCCGTGGAATGCTTGCAGAGGCAAATGCAATGTTCGTGGCTTTCACAGAGACCCACATAAAGGATCACTTGGACAACGAAATATGGATCCCAGGTTACAACCTATACAGATGCGACAGAGTGAACAGGCAAAGGGGGGGGGTTGGCCTGTACATCGCAGAGTCACTTGTTTGCACAGAACTGCTTAATGCCTCAAATGATGTAGTGGAAGTTTTAGAAGTAAAGATCGAGAACCAAAACCTAGTCATTGTGGTAGTCTACAAGCCTCCGGATGCAATGTCCCAGCAATTCCAGGAACAGTTGTTAAAAATTGACCACTGTCTGGAAAATCTGCCAGCTCCCGCCCCCAACATCTTGCTCCTGGGGGATTTCAACTTAAGGCACCTAAAATGGAGGAATATAGCAAATAATGTTGTTGCAGTGATAACACCAGGAGGCAGCTCTGACGAGAACTCACACACACATGAGCTTTTAAATCTCTGCACAAAATTCAATTTAAACCAGCAAATAATAGAGCCTACTAAACTGGAGAATACACTAGACCTCATCTTCACTAACAATGATGATCTGATACAAAATGTCACCATATCAAAAACAATATACAGTGGACCCCCGGTTAACGATATTTTTTCACTCCAGAAGTATGTTCAGGTGCCAGTACTGACCGAATTTGTTCCCATAAGGAATATTGTGAAGTAGATTAGTCCATTTCAGACCCCCAAACATACACGTACAAACGCACTTACATAATTACACTTACATAATTGGTCGCATTCGGAGATAATCGTTATGCGGGGGTCCACTGTACTCAGATCACAACATAATTGAGGTAGACATGTATGCGCGGAGCCCCAGACCGACATAATGAGATTAGTCACGAGGTAGCATTCACCAAATTCAACTTCAATAACAAAAACATAAAGTGGGACCAAGTAAACCAAGTCCTAACCGATATAAGCTGGGAAGATAGACTAAACAACACAGACCCCAACTTATGCCTAGAACAGATTAACTCGGTGGCACTCGATGTATGCACAAGGCTTATTCCTCTAAGAAAAAGGAGGAGTAGATGTAAAATAGAAAGAGACAGGCGCTCCCTTTACAGGCGACGGAAAAGAATAACAGATCGGCTAAAAGAGGCCAATGTATCTGAAATGCGCAGGGAGTCACTGGTCAGAGAAATAGCAGGCATCGAACTTAAGCTAAAGGAATCTTATAGGAGTCAGGAATCGTGGGAAGAAACTAAAAGTCATAAATGAAATCGAAAGAAACCCAAAGTATTTCTTTTCCTATGCCAAATCAAACTCGAGAACAATGTCCAGTATTGGGCCCCTACTTAAACAAGATGGGTCCTACACAGATGACAGCAAAGAAATGAGTGAGCTACTCAAGTCCCAATATGACTCAGTTTTAAGCAAGCCGCTAACCAGACAGAGTCGAAGATCAAAATGAATTTTTTATGAGAGAGCCACAGAATTTGGTTAACACAAGCCTATCTGATGTTATCCTGATAACAAATGACCTTGAACAGGCGATAAATGACATTCCCATGCACTCTGCCCCAGGGCCAGACTCATGGAACTCCGTGTTCATCAAGAACTGCAAGAAGCCCCTATCACGAGCTTTTACCATCCTATGGAGAGGGAGCATGGACACGGGGGTCGTCCCACAGTTACTAAAAACAACAGACATAGCCCCACTCCACAAACAGGGCAGTAAAGCAATAGCAAAGAACTACAGACCGATAGCACTAACATCCCATATCATAAAAATCTTTGAAAGGGTCCTAAGAAGCAAGATCGCCACCCATCTAGAAACCCATCAATTACACAACCCAGGGCAACATAGGTTTAGAACAGGTCGCTCCTGTCTGTCTCAACTATTGGATCACTACGACAAGGTCCTAGATGCACTAGAAGACAAAAAGAATGCAGATGTAATATATACAGACTTTGCAAAAGCCTTCGACAAGTGTGACCATGGCGTAATAACGCACAAAATGCGTGCTAAAGGAATAACAGGAAAAGTTGGTCGATGGATCTATAATTTCCTCACAAACAGAACACAAAGAGTAGTAATCAACAGAGTAAAGTCCGAGGCAGCTACGGTGAAAAGCTCTGTTCCACAAGGCACAGTACTCGCTCCCATCTTGTTCCTCATCCTCATATCTGACATAGACAAGGATGTCAGCCACAGCACCGTGTCTTCCTTTGCAGATGACACACGAGTCTGCATGACAGTGTCTTCCATTGCAGACACTGCAAGGCTCCAGACGGACATCAACCAAATCTTTCAGTGGGCTACAGAAAACAATATGAAGTTCAACTATGAGAAATTTCAATTACTCAGATATGGTAAACACGAGGAAATTAAAACTTCATCAGAGTACAAAACAAATTCTGGCCACAAAATAGAGCGAAACACCAACGTCAAAGACCTGGGAGTGATCATGTTGGAGGATCTCACCTTCAAGGACCATAACATTGTATCAATCCCAGCTGCTAGAAAAATGACAGGATGGATAATGAGAACCTTCAAAACTAGGGATGCCAAGCCCATGATGACACTCTTCAGGTCACTTGTTCTATCTAGGCTGGAATATTGCTGCACACTAACAACACCTTTCAAGGCAGGCGAAATTGCTGACCTAGAAAATGTACAGAGAACCTTCACAGCGCGCATAACGGAGATAAAACACCTCAATTACTGGGAGCGCTTGAGGTTCCTGAACCTGTATTCCCTGGAATGCAGGCAGGAGAGATACATGATTATATACACCTGGAAAATCCTAGAGGGACTAGTACCAAACTTGCACACGAAAATCACTCACTACGAAAGCAAAAGACTTGGCGGACGATGCAACATCCCCCCAATGAAAAGGAGGGGTGTCACTAGCACGTTAAGAGACCATACAATAAGTGTCAGGCGCCCGAGACTGTTCAACTGCCTCCCAGCATACATAAGGGGGATTACCAATAGACCCCTGGCAGTCTTGAAGCTGGCACTGGACAAGCACTTAAAGTCGGTACCTGATGAGCCGGGCTGTGGCTCGTATGTTGGTTTGCGTGCAGCCAGCAGTAATGGCCTGGTTGATCAGGCTCTGATCCACCAGGAGGCCTGGTCACAGACCAGGCCGCGGGGGCGTTGACCCCCAAAACTCTCTCCAGGTAAACATAAAGGGCCCCAAAATATGAAATTCATTACCAGAAGATATTAAAGTAACCCAGTCTGAAAATCAATTTAAGACTTTTTCAAAAGCCACTTAATCACCCTAGACTAAACGCTAAATACTCAGTACACACATACTCACTTATGTAGTCCCACATCATAACTTCAACAATCACTTTGAACTTTTTATCCATTGTTGACAGGAATATAATTGAATCAATGTTTTCACAAAAAGCATTTTCGAATATATGAATATATCTTTTGTCTTGTACAGATTTTGATTCATTTATAATTAATAATCTACTGTACAACTATGAAATAATTACTATCCCAGTGTACAACTATGATATAATCCTTAGTGTTAAGTAGTCTGTAAGCCAATAATGTTAAGTTGGCCTATAATACCTAGGCATAATAGAGGCTCTCTTTGCATTGCAACCCACTATTGTAAATACAAAATCTGAATGTACTGTTTGCAAAGACATGGAATAAATAAATAAATAAATAATGAAAATGAAAATGGCATTGACAAAAAAGAGCTTACAGTAGTTACAGATACAAGTAATTACAATACAAAATATACAAAGTATTTAGAAAAGCATTGATTCTGCAGAACATACAAAAATTATGCAATAAATAAAAGCATAAAAAATGTAATCCTTTTTTACCTGTATATACTGATCAATCCTCTCCACTGACACAATGTTAGCCTCGAAGTCTGACACAACGCGCACTAACCAGTTAAGCTGAGATGTCACCTAAAATGATAACAAGTTGTTATAGGATTAAATACAGTGGACCCCCGACTTACAATGTCCTCAACCTACATTAAAACCAACTTACGATGCATGTCAGTGTAAAATTTTGACCCCGACATACGTTGAAAAACTCGACTTGCATCATTTGTCCCATACGCATCCATGTGTCTGTCTGGCCTGAGCGCCTCAGCTGAGCTAGTATGACACTGTTTAGAAGCTGGGGCGGATGGTTGCATGTATACATTCAATAAATTTTGTATTATTCCAGTATTTTTAGCACTTGTAACTGCTAAATAAGCCACCAAGGGCCCAAAGAAAGCTTCTAGTGCCAACACTGTGGCAAAAAGGGTGAGAAATACTATCGAAATACTATCATACCACAGTCAGCTGCTGTTGCACCATGGTCAGCTGCTGCTGCACCACGGTCAGCTGCTGCTGCCGTACCATGGTCAGCTGCTGCTGCTGCTGTAGCACCGTCAGCTGCTGCTGCACCACGGTCAGCTGCTTCTGCTGCTGCTGTACCATGGTCAGCTACTGCTGCTGCTGTACCATGGTCAGCTACTGCTGCTGCTGTAGCACTGTCAGCTGCTGCTTCACCATGATCAGCTGCTGCTGCACCATCGGTCAGCTGTACTACTCGAAGATGTGGAAAGACTGTTATTGGTGTGGCTTATTAAGAATACCGAGAAACAATTAACGCCAGAGGGTTAGCCACCCAGGATAACCCAAGAAAGTCAGTGTGTCATCGAGGACTGTCTAACTTATTTCCATTGGGATCCTTAATCTTGTCCCCCAGGATACGACCCAAACCAGTCGACTAACACGCAGATGAACAGGAAAAAATGCCTGGAACTAGTGCTCATATTGGTGAATTTAAGGCCAGCAAAGGTTGGTTTGAGAGATTTAAGAATCGTAGTGGTATACACAGTGTGATAAGGCCTGTTCTGGAAGAAAATGCCAAACAGGACCTACATTACTCAGGAGGAAAAGGCACTCCTAGGACACAGTGTCTCATCACTCATCATTTATTCTTCATTTAGTACACTAGTACATGCACAATATATATATTGTACATGTATCCTTGTTTTTGTATGTAGAAAAATGTATATTTCATGTGGTAATTTTTTTTTCATACTTATGGGGAAAATTAATTCGACTTATGATAATTACGTCTTACGATGTGCTCTCAGGAATGGATTAATATCATAAGTCGGGGGTCCACTGTACCTAGGTAGCAGAAAAAAGACTCTTATGATTTGTAATAGCTATTTTTACTGAACAAACAAATTTTATTTCTTTGTACAGTATAAAAATGAAGTTTGCATGCAATAAAATATTGTTAAGTACAAAAGAAAGTCACTATCATACAGTGCATTTTGGGAAGACTAATCCTAATGCTTACACACTACTTAATAATAACAATAATAATAATAATACTTTAGACTAAACATAGGTAATGAGTGGTACAGTTTTAAGTATGCATTATAAGGTTAATTTGCATAATTTCTCTCTTCATAAAAGTGATCACTTTTTATGATCCCACCCTAATCTTCTCACTTAACACTAATTGTTAATGAAGAACTAGTAAAAATATCGACTTGGATGACTGCTAATAAACTCACATGTAATACTGACAAAATCTTTTACATTATGTTGAAGTAGAGCAGGTGAGGTCCAGCTAAACATTATGCTCAACAACACTCTTATTGCTAAACATAATGAGGGAAAATTTCTGGGTTTGCACCTTGACAGCAACTTGAAATCCAAAACCCATATCCAACACATAACAAAAAAAGTATTCAAAACAATTGGCATCCTCTCTAAGATATGTTATTATGTACCACAAACAACACTACTTACACTATAATATTCATTGATCTAACCCTGCCTCACCTATGCTATTTGTGCCTGAGGATCCACAACAGCAACTCACCTAAACCAATAACAACTCGACTAAAAGCTGCAGTGTGTATGATCACACAGTCCACTGCTAGACAATATAGCTCCCCTCTCTTCAAAGCTCTAAACCTACTCACTATACAAAACATTCACTCTTACCACTGTACAACCTACATTTACAGAACAATCTAATATAAATCCTGAACTGAAGCAGTTTCTTGATAGTTGCAGCAGGACCCATAGACATAATACTAGGCACAAAAATCTGTGACATTCCCTGTGTCTGGCTAAATCTCTTCAAAAATTCAATGTACATAAAAGGGCCCAGAAATCTCCAGAACCATTAACTCAGCCAGCATTTTCAAAACTACCATTAAAAAGCACATCTCCCTAACATATCCCAGCATCAACTAAATATGTAAAAACTATAAATGCATATTCTCAGTGTCATGAACATAAGTAAAACATGATAACAATATATACAGGAAGGCACCACTTATACGGCTGGTTAGGTTCCAGGCTACTGCCGTAAAGCGGAAACCGCCGTAAAGTGGAACACCCTTTTTTTCCACTTACAAATGCATACAAACACTAGATAACAAGTTTACACTAACATATATTAAGTTAGCAATAGAACCAGGCATCAAAAAACAATAAAAAATGTACAATACACACATAGTGCACTCATTACTTACCTTAAAATATTTATAGTCTTAATCTAGGGTGAGACAAGTAGTATTTATTGTAAGAAATCAAGTGTGGTATGTATGGTAGTCAGCCAGGCTACCATACCAGGCCACCCCACCCACACATACAATTCTATGATATTTAAGCATCCCAGAGCGATAAAATGTATATACAGTTCACTAATTACTTACCTTAAAATATAGGGTGAGATGAGTAGTATTTATTGTAAAAAATCAAGTGTGGTATGTATGGTAGTCAGCCGGGCTACCATACCAGGCCAACCCACCTACACATAATATTCTATTACATTTAAGCATCCCAGAGCGATAAAATGTATATACAGTTCACTCATTACTTACCTTAAAATATTTGTAGTCTTAATGTAGGGTCAGGAGTAAGTAAATGAGATAAAACGAATAAATGAGAGAGAGAAAGAATGAGTGCATGAGAGAGGACAGGCACAGAGTTATGTAAACAAACCAGGCGAAGGTAAGTTTTGTAAACGAAGTGTACACGTCTGGTTTGTGTACAAGTTACACTGTGTACAGGTTGTCTCTACACTGATACGGTAGAATAAATAAAGAAGAACACTCCCATTCTCATGTAACATCATTTTGAGAAGAAATGATGCTCTGAGTGAAGGCAATGGAAATAAGTCACTCTGACTTTTTTGGGTTATCCTAGGTTCTCTACACATATGTTGTTACGTATGATAATCTATGTAACTGTATTTGTGTATACCTGAATAAACTTACTTACATACATACATACGAAAGGAATAATTTCCTACAGTTACCCCCAGTAACGCATTTTCTCTTATGTTAGATTAGAGAAAATGTTATTCTTGGCATCACTTGTACAAGTTATCTGGCTACCACATCTCATATTTATGTTTATTTATTCTATTGTAGGGTGTATTTATCATCTTTTTATGTTATGTATCGTGTTTATTATATAATTTTGAAAAAAATATCATGGATGGATTAATGAAAATGTGTATATTAACGTAATATACAACATTTAATGAGACTCGGTGATTATTATTATTATTATTAGCATTTCTAATATGGCGTCACTTGTGCAAGTCGTCTGCTATCACATCTCATATTTATGTTTATTTATTCTATTGTGGGGTGTATTTATCATCTTTTTATGTTATGTATCGTGTTTATTATATAATTTTGAAAAAATATCATGATGGATTAATGAAAATGTGTATTTAACGTAATATACGACATTTAAATGAGACTCGATGATTATTATTATCATTACTAATATGACGTCTGGAGACATAAGACACTCTTACTGATTTTAATGTGTACCTGCATGCCAGTACAGTATGTAAGTTTATTTAAGTACAGGTATACATAAGTATAATTATCAGAGTATATATAAAATATGAAATAACTTTTAAAAACATTTGAAATTTTGGAGTTTCCAGACAAAATGGAGAGACTTAGTGCTTACTGAGCTCACGAAGAATGTAAACAAACAGGGTGGGGCGCGGTGACCGTATTAGAAAGTCAGGTGGGGGAGCCGTATAGCGAGTTTTGGTCATAATTTGAAATGACCATATTAGCGGAATGCCGTAAAGTGAAACGCCATAAAGCGGGGCCCTCCTGTACTTCCTCTCATTATCTGTAACCCTCCCAATCCATAAACAACTGGCTGTGTCCCCTTTAGGTCAAACCTGTAATCCCTCTCAAATAAACTTATTAAAGCCATATAGCATGAACTGATAGAATATTCAGTTCTCCTTAATTCATTGTAAACCCCTAAATTTACACATTATTGTTACTGTCTTCTTAAGAATAAGAATAAGAAGTTCATTTTGACATGATACATGGTTGTACAGAGGAATATAACCAGTCGGGTGTACATACCAAAAGCCATTTGTATGCAGAGCATTTTGGGCAAACTTAAAAATTAACTTAAGGTTAGGAACGCAGTTATAGTTCATATGGTCATTGGATAAGTTACAGTGAGTATGAGAGATTGGAATACATTGGAACCTTGGCTCATGAATGCCCCACCATGCAAATTTTTCAGGATACGAACCGTCATTTGGTCGATTTTTTGCTTCTGGATACGAAAGGAATTTCAGAATGCAAACTTCCCCTTCAAGGGAGGTTCCTTAAATAAATAAATAAATAAATAAAATATTTATTTCCTTGCAAAGGTTACAATTTGAGTTTACATATCACAATATGATTGGAGCAAAGACAGCCACTATCGTGCCAAGGCATTTCGGGCAGACTAATACTAATAGACAGGTGAAAAGTATACTAGTAGTGGCTACCAATGTTTTGCTGATGGTGGCACCAACTACTGGCAGCCTTTTGAAGTTTCTCCTTACTGTTATTATTATTATTATTATTATTATTATTATTATTATTATTATTATTATTATTATT